TCTTCAATGTCAACGTCAATTTTGACATATTTGTAATTGTCGTGAAAAATCCTTTAAAATGAGCCCAAACATCATACGTTTAATTCCAATATTAGTCGAGATATAAGCAACTTCCGGTTTGAAATGTCATTTTGACAAATTCTTAATTTTTATAAAATGTCTTAAAATTTATCACAAAAACAAAAATACAATAAAAAAAATTAAAAATTAAGGTTGGTATTAATATTTAAAAATTAAATTGCTAACTTCAGGTTTAACATTTTTTTATTCAAACTTTTTTGTTTTTTGAGATAAGTGCGTCATGTTTGGACTCATTTTAAAGGTTTTTTAATAAAGATGACAAATATGTCAAAATTGACGTTGACGTTTCAAACCGGAAGTTATTGTATTTCCATTAATATTAAAGTTAAATATGTCGAGTTTGGACTCATTTTAAAGGATTTTTTATGAAGTTGACAAATATGTCAAAATTGACGTTTCAAACCGGAAGTGATTGTATTTCCATTAATATTAAAGTTAAATATGTCGAGTTTGGACTCATTTTAAAGGATTTTTTATGAAGTTGACAAATATCTCAAAATTAAAAGTTGAAAGTTCGAACTTTTTGGTTTTTTGAGATAAATGCGTCAAGTTTGGACTCACTTTAAAGGTTATTTTATGAAGGTTACGAATATAATAATAAAATTAAAGTTGACATTGACAACTGAAAGTTTTTTCACCAAACCTGACTATTTCTAGTTCTCGTTCTAGTTTAACCTAAAACTTTCTAGTTCTAGGTCTAGTGTTATTTAACCCTAAATTCTTGTAAATTTTAATTGATCTAAAATTTTTTTTTTGACTTAATCCACTCACCTTGCTTATAATTTCATCTATTTACCCATTTTGAAGCAAATACAATCTTTAAATCCAATTAATTACGTGTTTTTCATTTTTTTGACAAGCAACTACAATATTTGGATCTTAATCACCATGGTAACCGAGTCAGGTTGGATAACCTTAAAATAATAAAATTTTAACCGTTAATATTTCACTTTATGTTTTATTTTTTTTATTTTATTTTATATCTTTTTTTTTATATTGTTGTATATTGCTTAAGTAAAATACACTGTGTATAAACAAAAACATAGAAATGTCAATTCTTCCAATAACGTCATGGCAAGGCCTTTGCTGGAGGATACGTTCATAATATATGGAGTTGGATAACCTTATACAGTTTGTTCACTCAACGGACCTTGATTGTTATAAAAATTAAAAAAATAGAGTTGGAAGGATCCGAAGGTGCTGATTTAACGAAATATGTCGCGATTTCAATTAAATTCGTATTAATTAATTAAATATAAAAAGAATTAAATTTAATTACAGATAACCAACTTACCGACATACAATCAAACAAACATAACCTCACTAAATTAAACGTCATGATCGTTTCTTGTCAAAATAAGCAATAAAATTAATTTAATAATAAATGATTTAATTTAAAAACTAATAATTAATAAATAAAATAATGTCGGATTTAGTAAAAAAATGCGTAGTTCGCGTCGAAGTCGAAAACAACAACGAAGGTAAGTATTAAAAAGTGAGGTTAAAATCACCTTATTGTTATAAAAAATTAAAAAAATAGAGTTGGAAGGAGCCGAAGGTGGTGATTTAACGAGTTCGAAAATCCGTCGTCATCGAAACATTCGTGGAATTAGCGTTGAAACGTTTCCGAGTTGATTAGAAACCCCCAGAAATGATTGGGGGCTCCTTCCGGAACATTCTCGAGATAACACGAAATTATTAACCCTTTCGTTATTAAGAGCGTACGCATACGTTTTTGTATATGTGGGCTTGCTAAATGATCTTGAAAATACTCCGTAACGAAAGGGTTAAAAGATAGCTTTGAGGAGAAAAGTGAGATTGGATTTTTTAGTGGTAACCCATTCGTTGAATTAACTAAAGGAATTTTGCATCTATATAAAGAAGAGTAAGTTGAAATAAAAAAATTATTTGGTTAAAAAAAACTCTAAACTTGTTTTTTTTTTTAAATTTTAGTGCCTTATCGAGTAGCGCCGAAGCGTTAACTTTATGCATACTTGGAGTTCCTAATTCAATGACTTGCCATCTTTTAAACTACACAGCTCTGTGTCATGCCGAAATAAATGCGTCAAGTTTGGACTCACTTTAAAGGTTATTTTATGAAGATTACGAATATAATAATAAAATGAAAGTTGACATTGACAACTGAAAGTTTTTTTCACCAAACCTGACTGTTTCTAGTTCTAGTGTTAGTTCTAGTTTTAATTGTTATTTAACCCTAAATTCTTGTACATTTTAATTGATCTAAAAATTTTTTTTTTTTGATTTAATCCACTTACCTTGCTTATAATTTCATCCATTTACCCATTTTGAATTAAATACAACCTTTAAATCCAATTAATTATGTGNAAATAGAGTTGGAAGGAGCCGAAGGTGGTGATTTAACGAGTTCGAAAATCCGTCGTCATCGAAACATTCGTGGAATTAGCGTTGAAACGTTTCCGAGTTGATTAGAAACCCCCAGAAATGATTGGGGGCTCCTTCCGGAACATTCTCGAGATAACACGAAATTATTAACCCTTTCGTTATTAAGAGCGTACGCATACGTTTTTGTATATGTGGGCTTGCTAAATGATCTTGAAAATACTCCGTAACGAAAGGGTTAAAAGATAGCTTTGAGGAGAAAAGTGAGATTGGATTTTTTAGTGGTAACCCATTCGTTGAATTAACTAAAGGAATTTTGCATCTATATAAAGAAGAGTAAGTTGAAATAAAAAAATTATTTGGTTAAAAAAAACTCTAAACTTGTTTTTTTTTTTAAATTTTAGTGCCTTATCGAGTAGCGCCGAAGCGTTAACTTTATGCATACTTGGAGTTCCTAATTCAATGACTTGCCATCTTTTAAACTACACAGCTCTGTGTCATGCCGAAATAAATGCGTCAAGTTTGGACTCACTTTAAAGGTTATTTTATGAAGATTACGAATATAATAATAAAATGAAAGTTGACATTGACAACTGAAAGTTTTTTTCACCAAACCTGACTGTTTCTAGTTCTAGTGTTAGTTCTAGTTTTAATTGTTATTTAACCCTAAATTCTTGTACATTTTAATTGATCTAAAAATTTTTTTTTTTTGATTTAATCCACTTACCTTGCTTATAATTTCATCCATTTACCCATTTTGAATTAAATACAACCTTTAAATCCAATTAATTACGTGTTTTTCATTAAAAAATTTGAATTCAACATCAACTTTGACAAGCAACTGCAATATTTGGATCTTAATCACCATGGTAACCGAGTCAAGTTGGATAACCTAAAAATAATAAAATTTTAACCGTTAATATTTCACTTTATATTTTATTTTATATCTTTTTTTTAATATTTTTGTATATTGCTTAAATGAACGCAACGGACCTTGGTTGAAAACAACAACGAAGGTAAGTATTAAAAAGTGTGGTTAGAAACACCTTAATATAATAAAAATTTAAAAAAATAGAGTTGGAAGGTGCCGAAGGTGGTGATTTAACGAGGTCGAAAAGCCGTCGTCTTTTATAGTAAAGCGATTTCAATTAAATTCGCATTAAATAATTAATTTAACATAAAAAGAATTAAATTTAATTACAGATAACCAACTTACCGACATACGAACAAACAAATATAACCTCACTAAATTAAACGTCATGATCGTTTCTTGTCAAAATAAGCAATAAAATTAATTTAATAATATCGATTTAATATTAAATGATTTAATTAGTAAATACAATAATGTCGGATTTAGTAAAAAAATGCGTCGTTCGCGTCGAAGTCGAAAACAACAACGAAGGTAAGTGTTAAAAAGTGAGGTTAAAATCACCTTATTGTAATAAAAATTTAATAAAATAGAGTTGGAAGGAGCCGAAGGTGGTGATTTAACGAGTTCGAAAATCCGTCGTCATCGAAATATTCGTGGAATTAGCGTTGAAACGTTTCCAAGTCGATTAGAAACCCCCCGAAATGATTGGGGGCTCCTTCCGGAGCATTCTCGAGATAATACAAAATTATTAAAAGATAACTTTGAGGAGAAAAGTGAGATTGGATTTTTTAGTGGCAACCCATTCGTTGAATTAACTAAAGGAATTTTGCATCTATATAAAGAAGAGTAAGTTGAAATAAAAAATTATTTGGTTAAAAAAAACTGTAAACTTGTTTTTTTTTTTTAATTTTTAGTGCGTTATCGAGTAGCGCCGAAGCGTTAACTTTATGCATACTCGGAGTTCCTAATTCAATGACTTGCCACGATCTTTTAAACTACACAGCTCCGTGTCATGCCGAAATCGCTCACATCCGAGTGTTACGAGACACCACTCCTAACCAATATATGGCACTTTTAACGTTTCGAAATCACCCGGCGGCGAGGGAGTTCTATATAACGTATAATGGGGCCCCTTTTAATACTTTAGAACCGGATATTTTGTGCCGCGCGGTTTGGGTGTCTCAAGTCGAGTGGGCAAACGATGGTTTTCCACCCCCGGGGCATACAGAACTTCCAACTTGCCCCGTTTGTTTAGAAAGAATGGATGAGTCAATCGATGGGGTTTTAACGATTTTGTGTAATCACGCTTTTCACGCGAGTTGTTTAGAAAAATGGGGGGATTCAACTTGCCCCGTTTGCCGATGTGTCCAAAGCCCAGAACAAGCTGAAAGTTCTGAGTGCGATCGTTGTGGGAAATCGGGGCCATCTCCTGATGCTTTATGGATTTGTTTGATTTGTGGGCATGTTGGATGTGGGAGGTAATTTATTTATTTATTTACTTTAAGTTTTAATCGATTTAATTGATTTTTAGATACCAAGGGGGGCACGCGGCGTCTCATTACCGCGAATCCGGACATTGTTACGCGCTACAATTGGGGTCCCACCGAGTTTGGGACTACAAAGGTGATAATTTCGTGCATCGCCTCCTCCAAAACAAAGGCGATGGCAAATTAGTCCCAACAGAAGGTCCCCCATCCGAATCGGAATGCATGCAAGAAAAAGTCGATTCAGTCCAACTCGAATTCACTTATTTATTAACATCCCAACTCGACGAGCAACGACTTTACTTCGAAGATAAATTAGCGCAATTAGATTTCCAAGCTGGAGAAGAAACCAAAGCTCTAAGAGAAAAATTAACCTCTCTAGCCGAAGAAAACAAACAATTAAAAAGCAAATTATCCTCCCTAGGGAAAGAAAAAGGTAACTTGGAGAAAAAAATATCCCAACAAGCATCTAAACTCACATCGACTTTAACCGAATTAAACGAAGAAAAACAATTAGGAAAAGCGATGCGGAGTAATCAGCAACAATGGCAAAGCAAAACGGCGAAATTAGAGGAGAAGTTAAATGAATTAAAGGCGGTTAAAGAGAAAGAAGTGGCGGATTTAAAGGAACAACTGCGGGATTTGATGTTTTATTTAGACGCGCAATCGGTTATTGAAAAATCGGAGGATAAAGATGAAATTGCTTCGGGGACGATCACCGTGGGGGAAGCTCCCGAAGTGAAAAGTAAAAATCGAAGGAAAAAACGATGATTTTTTTGTGATTGATTATTTATAATTTGTATTTTGTTGTTTAATTAATAAATAATTCGTAATTTTGGGGTTATGTCAAATTAATTTCGAGGTTATCTCAAAGTGTCAAATTATTTTGGTAATTAATAATCAAAAAAAAAGTAAGTTATAAAGTAATTATTTTATAATTTGATGTAAGTCGCGGGATTTGTTGCAATGTGAGAAGATAAAAGAAGTAAATGAAGAGGAATCTCTTGGGATAAGTACAATAAATATTAAAAATGACATACATAAATAGTTTGGTACTAGAAATATTGTTAAATAATGTAAAAATTAGATAATGAAAAAACAATAATTTTTTTGTGATTGATTATTTATAATTTGTATTTTCTTGTTTAATTAATAAATAATAATTCATAATTTTGAGGTTATGTCAAACTGTCAAATTATTTTTGGATATTTATGAATTTCGCATTAATAACAATTAAATGAATTATGGATAATAAATATAAATGGATAATAAATAATGTTTCGGATAAAAAAGTTGCTAAAAAACTTTAAATAAATATTCAATAATCGGATGTATCCCATTAAGCAGTTCTACCAACTTAAACCATCGAAAAATGTCAAAATCATCATTTTTAACAACAATAGTGTTTAATATCTCGAGAATTTGAATGTTTAGAAAGAAATGTTTCGGATAAAAAATGTTGCTAATTGACTCTAAATACATTTCCTTTAAACAGGTTTATTCCATTAAGCAATTCTACCAACTTAATCAATTTAAAAGTGAAAAGTGTCTAAATCATCAATTTTAACAACAATCATATTTAATATCTCGAGAATTTGAATGTTTAGAAAGAAATGTTTCGGATAAAAAATGTTGCTAATTAACTTCAACATTGAATTCAAGCAACTAAGCCGAGGTCGCTTGCGGCCGAGGCAGTAGATTCTGCTATACAAATTTATATTCAAGGAACTAAGCCGAGGTCGCTTGCGGCTGAGGCAGTAGATTTTGTTAATCAAATTTGGATTCAAGGAATCAAGCCTTACAGCCGAGACACAGCAATTAACACCATATCAGCCTTTCGAACAACATATAGCCGGCCTCAGCTTAATCAAGAAAAATAATGGATTCCAAGAACTTAGCCGAGGTCGCTTGCGGCCGAGGCAGTAAATTGTGTTAACCACCTTTAGATCAAGAATCCAAGCCAAAGTTGCTTACGACCAAGGCAATACAATTAATATCATATCAACCCAAGTCTGATTAACATATTGTTGCACCTCGGGCGCAAGCGATCTTAGTTTGGTTCTTTGAATCCAAAGGAGATTAACATAATCTACTGCCTCGGCCGCTAGCGACCTCGGCTTAGTTCTTCGGATCCATTATTTTTCTTGATTAACCCGAGGCGCTACTATATTATTATGTTGTTCGAATATGGGTTGATATGGTATTAATTGCAGCGCCTCGATTGCAAACGAAGTTCTTTAGATCAAAAGTGATTAACACAACCTACTGCCTCGGCCGCAAGCGACCTCGGCTTAATAAAAAAAAAATCGAAATGATGACTCGAAAGTTTCTAGTGTTAGTTTTAATTTTAATTCATAATTTTGAAGTTGTGTCAAATTATTTTTGATTATTAACGTCAAATAAAATAATTAACATGCAAAACGACGATTCAGACACCGATTTTGGCTCAACTGAAAGTGTAGAAGGTTACGCTGAGAAAATATTAGATTGGAAAGAAATATGTTTCTTGCCGTTCAAGATGATATGGAAAACTGCGTTAGTTTTGGTCGTCTTTTTGGAGATAGTGTTTGTCAGTTACAGTTTAATGTTCGAAACGAAAGAGGAAACGAGTTATTTCTTTTTTGGTTATTATTTGTTCGAAGTCTTTTATGCTATCGATACGTCCCTATTTATCATGCACAAGTAATTAATTCAATAAATTTAAAACAAATTTAATTTGATTCGTTGCAGGTTCCTTTGGACACAACAAAAAAAGAAAACTCACGTCCCAAAACATTATTTCACGATAATCATGGATATAATCACCTTAATTCCTTATTACGAGACTTATTACTTGCTCGGGAGAGCATCGAAAGGAAAAAATTACGATTTCGTGCGAGATCTTTTTAAATGGAAAGTTTTGTTTCGGATTTATCGAATCCCATCGTTTTTCGAATCAATCTCAAAAACGCCTGGTTTAAATCATATCGCTGCGGATTCAATCGGACACGCTGTATATTTTTTATTATATTGCACTTTAGGGAGTTGTTTTTGGTACTACCTCGCGTTAAAAAGCCCTGAAAATAATTGGTCAACCACTTATTTAGAGTACCACAACTTTAATAACGACTCATCGTATTCCTGGTACATCATTTCGTTTAGTTTGGTCGGAAATCTTTACGCTCACAATTGGTCCGGATTAATATTCGCAACTTGGACCGTGGAGTATTATTTTTTCATGGTAACCATGTTGCTTGGCTTTTTAAATCACTACATGATTTTATTCGGAAAATTAATCGCGTTATACATGAAACGAATCGACCCCCAATACCGATTTTCAATGAAGCTGTACGTTATCCAAAATATGATGCAAGATTGGAAAGTTCCCCCTAAAATTCAAAAAGACGTCATCGAAATATACAACTCCGTTTGGGAACAAAGATCCGGAATTATCGATCGA